TGTATAAGCGTCGAATGAGCACAAATTATCACGCAAATATGATAAATCAAATCTACTCACCGGCTGTTCCACAGGCCGCTCCTCCTCGGGACAGTTCGCTCGCCTCGGGACGTCCCATTCCGATCTTGATGCACACAAATCCACACGATATCATCAACGCGAACGCGCGACACTTTATTCGGCACTCCCGATACTCGCTCGCATCCAATAATCATCATCAAGGGCCCGAATAACGCGACGCAATTTCGCTCCATCTTCGCAATGACGCAATCACTGAATATCGTCAAAAATCGCTGTCGCGCGTTTCCATCGACACACTATAAAAGTCGCGCGATCATCCTTGGACACTCTCGGCGCTCGTTCACTCGCGATATTCGTTTAAAAACGGTTAAAAGATGCGAAAAATGCGGATGTACGACGATCCGTGTAACTGCGTGTGACTCCGATTCACGTATGACGCGTATGACGTAGCAGTCACGCGCCAACATGGCGGCCGAACCACTGCGCATTCGTTTCTGCGCATGGCCATTCCTGTGCTCAACGTTCGCGCAACTTTGATTTCTGAAAGCACATAATGATAAATATATAAAGATAGAATCAATTAATCATATTGGTCATATATGTAGACTTGCCCGAAGAAACAGAGAAAAAATTGAGAGATATTTTTAATTTCTTTTTCTTTTAGTAAAGGATGGAAATGTCTATTCATAGGCTTGTTCTTTTTTTCCTCTTTCGCGCAATTTCGATTCAATATATAACGTAAAAAATTCATAGTATATTATGCTAATGATATGAATTACGAATGATTCGATTGTTTTATCGCGCTTTTCCTTAGTCAAATCTTATAATATTTACTTTTGCATTTTAAAAGACTGAGAGCGATTCATATACAGAGTTTGAAGAGATATCCAATGCATGACAAATTATACTTGCGTTGATTAGTATTCATCAATACCGAACTGTTAATCGCGAATACGTACAATACTTTCACACATTTTTTTCGCAAACGATATACGAAATGCTATATTTCGCGCCTCGCGTTTCACTCATGCGGCCATCTTTCTTTGCTGTTTAGTATCGCCATCTGCATTCGCGTTAAACGCCAAAATTACGTAGTCAAAATACTTTTCGAGTGCCGGTAAAGTCATCATTTTGTGCATGTCGGTAAATTGTTAAAATCACGTCGCGCAAGCATAATTTTTTTATTGGTAGTATAACAAAATATGTAATTAAAAATTCATGTACGAAACGTATTTTTAATCAAATTACAAACATATACTTATTCCGTTACTCTAATACTTGTACGTTAACAGATTTAGGTTACACACATTGCATAAAGCTTCCAGAGAAAAATATCCAGAGGCACAAATATTTTATAAACGAAAATCATGCGAAGATGAAACAATAGATTAAAGAAGCCGTATAATCATTGTACTTTTATGTATAAACGTTTCACAAAATAAAATCTTTATAAATGAAGTGTTACATTAAAAATATTAGTATAAAATTAAATATCAATATGAGATTTAAAATTTTTTGTCCTTTTTTTTCTTTAGAATTTTTTTACTTTTTTTTCTAAAGATTCTTTAAGCGAGAACTGCTTCTTTCGCAAGACTATTGAACAATTTGAATGTTTGATATTTTCTTAGTAGTTTAAATTTCGTGAAAAAATTCGAGAGAAAATTAGATTTTATCGTATTACTGCACATATCGATTAAATGCTATATCAAATATGTAGTGTAAATATTTTAATTTTTTTGTATACGATCTACTTTTTATTCTATCGATGTTTTCATAGTGATGCACCTTGAGCACTTTGCTTCATGTTTGTAATAAAAATATATTAAAGCAAATTATTTTGCAAATTTATTATTCTAATTTTTATTTAGAAAGACTAAGATTAAAAAAGACGTATGCATTTTTTTCAGATATTTCTATTGAAAAAAACGCATCAGATAAAACTTTCCTGTACATTTTAAATGCGCCAAAAGATTTGCTCTTTATTCCACTTACTGCAATAATGTACACTAAAAATGACAGATCTATATTAAAAATGATAGATCTATATTTAGTAGTTGGAAAGAAAGAGAGGAGAAATGAAAAGTGTATCTAGAGAATTTAAAAGAATAAAAATCTAAAAATAATAATACATAAAAATTAATATTATGTATTTTTTTCATGAGGAATGTGGGGCGCACATTTATGCATTTATTTATTTGGATGAGATTTACTTTAGAGCACATTCAGTATTCAACTTTAATTTTATTTTCTCTTTCTTATGATATATAAGTATAACATAATTACCTGCAAATGCTATCACTTTGTGTGCTTACAGTGATACAGAAGCAACATTACAAGTACTATATTTACAGATAACATCTGTATAATAAAAAAAGCACCAAAAATCTAATGGTGAAAAAAGGGTAAATATTGTAGACCAGCGTAAGTATCAACCAATTATTCCACTGTTCTGTTTCATTAGAGTTGCAATTTTCTTTTATAATATCATAAATATTATAAATAAGATAAAGATTTCCATATGTTTCAAATAAATTTATATATTTTATGTATGTAATACTGCGCACACATAGTAAAAGGTGATAATATCGCAGTTATAATAAGATTCAATCCTGGCAATGTAGTGATTTTTGAATCCTGCTGAAAATAATTTAATAATTTAATATAATAATTTATTTTTGAGAAATGCGCACAATACTTGAGAGCAAATTATTTTTGTGTCATGTATTACCTGTGTAAAATTCCACACACAGTATCATATTGTCTGCGACATATGAAAAGCTTCATCGAATGGCTTCATAAAATAAATGGTTGAATATGAATGAGATATAAGAAAAGTACTTGTAATGTAGTAATATAGTACTTGAAATGAATAACGTTAATGTGGAATACATAAATATTTGATATTTTAATTTCATATAATCGAAATGAGATAAGACACTCATGATTACTTTAAAAATGTGTCCACAAATATCATGTAACTTCAATAGCTGCACATTCGTCAAATTAATCCTATTACGTTAAATGAATCACAGCAGCTTGTTTTAATTTAATCTAACCTAACCAATTATATTATATGCTCCTCATTAAAATGTGTAAAACTGTACGTCGCACATTTAATGCGATTAATATACTACGTAATAAAATGTAATACACTAATGAAATAATTAAATATTATTTTTGAAAGCATGATACAATCCAGGCAGCATACGCTTGTGTTTACATTCGACATCCAAAGCCACTGAGAGATTAGGTTAGGTTAGGTTAGGTTAGATCAAACAAATTTATCGTTTAACAGTTGGCAGCCCTACGAGATAGGCTGTGCAGCACTGCGTGTATATAAAATAAATTTGAAATCGCTTCTAAAGCCTAACCATCGTCACGCGATCGACTTTATTTGAATTGCACGGCATCGCATCGAATTATGATGCGGCGTCGATTTGTTCGAACGTAATTCGGGACATCGCGATGCTGTATAAGCGTCGAATGAGCACGAATTGTCACGCAAATATGATAAATCACATCTACTCACCGTTCACCGGCTGTTCCACAGGCCGCTCCATTCGCTCGCCTCGGGACGTCCCATTCCGATCTTGATGCACACAAACTCACACGATATCATCAACGCGAACGCGCGACACTTTATTCGGCACTCCCGATATTCGCTCTCATCCGATAATCATCATCAAGGGCGCAAATAACGCGACGCGACTTCGCTCCATCTTCGCGATCGCGCTATCACTGAATTGTCGAACACGGCTGTCGCGCACTTTCACTGACACACTATAAAAGTCCCGCGATCATTCTTGGACACTTTCGACGCTCGTTCACTCGCGATATTCGTTTAAAAACGGTTAAAAGATGCGAAAAATGCGGACGTACGACGATCCGTGTAACTGCGTGTGACTCCGAGGCACGTATGACGCGTATGACGTAGCAGTGACGTAGCAGTCACGCGCCAACATGGCGGCCGAACCAGTGCGCAGAAAAAGAATGCGCACTGGTTCGGCCGCCATGTTGGCGCGTGACTGCTACGTCACTGCTACGTCATACGCGTCATACGTGCCTCGGAGTCACACGCAGTTACACGGATCGTCGTACGTCCGCATTTTTCGCATCTTTTAACCGTTTTTAAACGAATATCGCGAGTGAACGAGCGTCGAAAGTGTCCAAGAATGATCGCGGGACTTTTATAGTGTGTCAGTGAAAGTGCGCGACAGCCGTGTTCGACAATTCAGTGATAGCGCGATCGCGAAGATGGAGCGAAGTCGCGTCGCGTTATTTGCGCCCTTGATGATGATTATCGGATGAGAGCGAATATCGGGAGTGCCGAATAAAGTGTCGCGCGTTCGCGTTGATGATATCGTGTGAGTTTGTGTGCATCAAGATCGGAATGGGACGTCCCGAGGCGAGCGAGTGGAGCGGCCTGTGGAACAACCGATGAACGGTGAGATGTGAGTAGATGTGATTTATCATATTTGCGTGACAATTCGTGCTCATTCGACGCTTATACAGCATCGCGATGTCCCGAATTACGTTCGAACAAATCGGCACCGCATCATAATTCGATGCGATGCCGTGCAATTCAAATAAAGTCGATCGCGTGAAGATGGTTAGGCTAGAAGCGATTTCAAATTTATTTTATTACGCGCAGTGCTGCACAGCCTATCTCGTAGGGCTGCCAACTGTTAGGTGCAATTTCATTGACGCTAAAAAGTAGCGTCAATGAAAAGGCCGCTTTAAAGATGCGGCCTCATTGACGCTAAAAAGTAGCGTCAACCATTGGTTGAACAATGAAGCAACTATACTTACCTCCTTGTTCAACCAATGGTTGACGCTACTTTTTAGCGTCAATGAGGCCGCACCTTTACACACTGAAAAAGTTGAAACTGTTTGAACTTTATTTTATTGACGCCAAATCTAGAGAAAGTCTAGTGATTTTAATTTGCCGCTGGTTTCTAGCGTCAATGAAATTGCACCTTAGTATTTGGCTTCTCCCTTTGCTTACATAGCCTAAAATCTTTATTGAAACGCGTGTACCGGCTATGCTATAGCTTGTAGCCGGTATGGTTTTATGAGTGATTGCGCGAGATCAACGAATTAACGGTAATAATGGCACGCTCGGAAAAAAATGATATCACTATCAGGGAAATGATGGATGACAGTGCAGCAACTGGAGTAATTTTGAAAGCGAACGAACCATGGCGAGAAGCTAAAACGAAGCTCTACTATGACTTCTTGCAAAGTATGCAGGCACACTTTTCTGAAACACAGATTTTCGATACGATCGCAGATTTCATACAGAATTGTGCGGACACATTGGATATAATGAGAGGTACGTAAAAATATATATTCAGCTATATATATTTTATTGTGCTGTGTAATAATTATAGCACAAATGTTATATAGCGTTTAAATTTCATGAAACAACATTGACATTTATTTCGACAGATATGCAATCAAAAGTTGAGAATACAGAAATAGCTCAAGAGGAGATTTCTTTGGAGAGCGAAAGAAATACGTGGAGACTAATATATTGTCTTTATCAAAATCGTATAAGTAGTGCTGGCTTAGCTACTCAAATGGAACATGATGGAAATATAAACAATAATTATATTTCTGAAAAGAATGTTATAGAAAATTTGTATAAAACTGAGAGCTATATTAGGGAATATCAATTGATTATTGACTGGTTAGAGAAGAATGCTCTAGATCAAGCAGATAGATATCCATCTATAGAACTTTTCACTGATAAGACAGTGGCTTGGGAAAATACAGTTCATCAGTTGCATAATCAAAATTTAGGAATTGCATTTAGTTCATCTAGACCACTAGTATCGTTTCTTGATCCTGATGCACCAATACGAGAGGGTAGACAATTACATGATCTAGATAGAGAAGATGATGCCAGACTTGAAAAAAGAATGTTTATAGAGGTATATATGAACTGTATTTGTTCTTATATAATTAAAATTACAATAAAAATTTACACAGATTTTTCAACAAAAATATAAAGTTATAAATATAAAGTTATAAATGTGATTTGGAAGAAGAAATAAAGTGTAATGTGTTTTGAGAAATTTTATTATAAATTGTAGGTACGTTGTGGACGTCTTCAAAAAGCACAAGCATTAGCTATGCATTGCGGTCAACTTTGGAGAGCTGCTTGTTTATTGGGTTGGATTCCTAATCATGATCCAAATTATAATAATCCTTCAACAGATACCAAATTACCAATTGAAGGGAATCCCAATAGGAGTCTTTGGAAGATGTGTGCTTGGGAATTGTCTCAAGATAAACGCATAGGTAAAGATCTTTTTAATACTTTACCTGCTACATTATATTTGCCCACTGAAAGTCCTATTATAGTGTGTTTATATTTGTCATTTGAATTGTAAACATTATGAAAAATATAACAAACAGTAATAATATAAAAATTATTAGTAATTAAATAAGCTATTATTATAAAAATTTATTTTAAATATTCTTTTGATACAAAATATTTGATAACATTAATCACATAAATATAAAACTTATCATATCTTCTAACATAGATAACATGATCTTTGCTGAAACATAAGCGTTATTCCATATATGAGTTACATACAATGTGTTATTGATATTACTAATCATGAATTACTTAGTTTTTAATTAATATCGACTTTTCTTATGATATAAAATTCAACTTTTGTTTATTTATATATAATATGAATATAAACAAGAGATTTTTCTATCATATAGGTATATTTTATCGCGCTATATACGCGAGTCTTTGTGGCAATGTCCAACTACTACTGCAGATAGCATCATCTTGGCAAGATGCATTATGGGCATATATGAAGACTCTTTTAGACATCAAAGTCGAGTCAGCACTAAGATTAATGATGCTGAAAATGTATACTACTATGCCGGAAGAATATTGGAAAAATGAAATCTCATTAGAGGACGCATTCAAAGAATTGCATGCGTCAAAAAATCCAATAATACGTGCCCAATCTAATAAACCTGATCATTTAATACAAAAATATATAATATTAGATCAGATACCAAAACTGATGGAGGAAATTGAAACTATGATTGATGTCGGCGTTTGCGATTCGCAGTTCCTCAGATTTCTGGCACATCTAATACTGTTCTTCAGACAGATCGGGAGAAGTACAAAAGATAAAGTAGAGGACAAAGTATTATTGGCGTATGTTCGTGTTCTTATAGAAATAGGCGACTCGACTTTAATAGCGTTTTATACAGCTACATTGCCTCAAGAAGAACAAATAACCAACTATGCTCGTTATTTAGAGAGTGTTAAAGAATATGAACAGCGCAAGAGATGTTTACGCGCGGCAGAGGATGCAAACTTAAATGTAGAAGCGATCACGAAATTAGTAGTGGAAAATATACGTAAGAAAAACATGGAATCCGATCCAATGGATCTGAAAGGAACTATAACCGACGCAGATATGGAAAAGATTAATGCATTAGATTGGTTGATTTTCTATCAGAATCAGAGAGAAGAAGCTTTACGGCAAACAAATGCGCTCATAAGATATTTTCTAACTAAAGAGAAACTTGATGCGGCGCGAAAAGCATTTAATAAGGTACAAGCTAAGAAATAATCAATTATTATAGCTTTTATATTGATATATGTTCATATGAAAGAATTTAGCATAATTCATTAACAACTCAATTTATGAAATTGCTTTGATTAATATAATTAAATGATATTTGCTTTTATGTTTTATAGATCCCGTCAGATTCAATTGAATCGGTTATGGCCGAATACTCGGATATGGAATGCACACTTGCAAATCTTACAATAACTAATAATCTGTCCAAACAAGCGGCTGCCTCGATAAGAGAATACCTCTGTTATAAGACATATCTTGATGCTCAGGAAGGTTTCGATGAATGGTTCTCTCACTATCATCATGGCAAACCTGTGCCACCAGAGGAATTGTCGACATATGCCACCTTCACGGAAAAAGTCGCGTATGATCATAGAAAGGCACAATACAATACAGAATTGGAAAGGTGGAAATCTACGATGCAGCATCATACAAAGGTGAAAAAAGATGAAATTTTATTAAAATGAAATATAAAAGATTCATGGATATCTGTTTTCAGGCTGTGAAACAATTATTATTTAATGTTCTCTTGTTCCCTGATGGTGGTTGGCTCGTCGATTCCAAGAACAGCAACGGTGAACCGTGCACGTCTGAAAATGAGCTTAGGGAACATCAATTGGAGAAGCTGCGTGAGCTTTGTATTCCTAAAGTTACGCTTTTACTACATTCGGTTATGTCTGAAATGAACGAGCACGACGGTTGTATTCAACTAGCAGATATACTGGCTTCCGAGCAACATCAACTTTATAAAGTATATATTAATAGTAAAAAATATAACTATTATATAAATATATTTATACATGAATTCTACAAAAAATACAACGTATTAACTCAATATTTTCATATAGGTATTCTCAAAAGGAAGATTACGCGAAATATTCAAAAAAATCTGCGAATCTTCTCTCGTTCTAATGGATCAAAAGAAAGATCCTTGGGGATATCCAAAATAGATTTTAAATATATAATTTGTAGTTTTAAATACATATATTGTTTATAGTATATATACTATATGAAAAAAAATGTATATGTACATGATACGTTATTTATATTACAGAACATTTTTTATAGCCATCGCGCATTAAACAGATATTAAATGCAGTCTCTTCCTTTTTCTTTTTTATAAAACCAGTTTATTGTCAACCACAAGAAGTGAATATAAAATTTGATATAATGTTCAATAATTCATAATCATAATATATCATATACCTCGTGATTACTTATATATGCTCCTTTTACCCAATAATATTAATAAATGTAGCTCTATTAAAGCCATTAAGATTAATGTATGAAATGTGACAAAACTCATAATTGTTAAAAGAACAGAAATATCCTGAGATACATTTCGCAGCAACACTTGACAGAACTCATGACAGTTGATGGACACTTTTAATACATTTTGTATCTTGATCAGATTGTACAATATTATCTGGATATAGATTCACGCGCGACAACGAATTGACACAATCAATACAGTACAAGAATATTCGAAAATAAATCGTTGCATATTATATAAATCTAAATGAATGTTGTATGTCGTTAGTGATATGGTTCATTGTATAATCTATTCTATTGTCAAAGGAAATGATGCTTTCTTATCAGCGGGAGCAATATTCTTTTCGCAAAAGAATTTTTCTTTCCTTAAACGCATAGCCTAATTTTGCAAATCACATGCATCCCTTCAAATGACGCTAACAAATCAAGCGAGATATTTACGAAACAGTATAGTACATATAGACTATATAAAGAAAATTAACATTTTCGACAAAGAGTGGTTCTTATCTAAATAATAACAGAATTTTACGGCGCTCGCACTAAAATGCTCCACTGACTGATATTTTTCCTTTTATCTTACGAGATATGTCAAATTACAATTTAAACAGTAAGGATTGACTTCTTATTAAGTGATTATTTTACGTGGTTGCTCGCAACACGATGGAGAACCGTGCGCTCTTATACCTTCTAGACGAGTTAACTTTCAGAGGGAATGAATAAACGGATATAGATATTATTTAGAATAACTTCCTCTAATATATATAGATGAGAAAAAATCATTATGGATTTCGTATTGATACATTAAACGGAGAGGCTGTTGCCCGAAAAATATTCGATATCACATGTGTCCGCGCTGAAAGATAACAAAATCTTAAAGAGCTGCCAAGCTCTATGTCAGTAAAGTCTAAAAAATGGCTAAGAAATGCTCAAGTATGTTAAAACGATTTCGTTGAATAGTTTTAGACATTTGTTAGCCATTCGTGTTTTTATATATTTACGAAAAATTGATTACATGGATATATCTAATCGTATATCGGTCGAGATTTATTATTCTTCATCTTTCAGCGCGGTGCTACGTGACAGTTTTTTACGTTTATTTCCGGAAAAGAATGGTATCACGTGCAAATATTCTCGCTCAATAATTATTCGCGCAATATCGAATTTAAACTCGTATACAACTTGATATGATGCGCGTCGAAAATTGACGCGAATAATTTTGCACGCGTGTTAACGAATTGTGTATTTATTCGAGATGAGAGATGACAGGAGGTCCTGTCTCCTTGAATAGAGGAAATAACAATTAGACGATTAAGTGTGAAAGTTAATTGTTAATTACAAGCTAGCCTAACACATAAACGTTGAAGAGAAACAAAAGGTTGATAATTTAAATGTTCTTCGGATACAATTCATCTGGCGCGGCGACAAGTCGTGTGAGACGATCAATCTTGTTACCGATTTCAATCTCTTTAATTGTGAAACGTTCTAACATTAATAGATGCACTTCTCGCGTGTAATGATGTACATAAAAAGTGCTTTTCGCGATTAACCGCCTTATCAAATTTTTTCCCAATAGAATCACATTGATTCTTATGAAAGTAATTCTTTTTGATTCTTTCCAAGGATCGGATCAATATCAATATCAATTAGCGTTACTGAACTTTCAGTTTCTTTTTTATTAACGAGATTTGAATTTACTAAAGGACAATGAGATAATGAAGAGATTGAGAAAATTAGTAGGATTAAAATATCATCTATAACATATCTTATGTTAATTTGAACCATCTTAATTGATAGCGTTATAAAGAATTAACGAACGAAACAAAAATCATTTTTTGTCGTAAATTGGATCTAATTTTCGAAAATCATAAAAAAATGTTTAAAGATCTATTTCACATCTTTAAATTATAAAGTTTACAATTATCTGATCTTTTTCGGATATTGAAAAATCATAGTTTAATGAGTTTCTATTAATTTTTGTCCTATTAATAATTGTCCTTTAATTTTTCTTTCTTCGTTAATTAAGTCAGACTAATGATCATTCTCGCATTTTCTTCTAGATATAGTTATTTACAACAGATATAGAGAAAAAAATGTTGTTGCAATCGATCCAAAATTGTTATACTCTACACACCACAAAAGAGCCTTTTGTGGGACGCAATATTTGCAAAGAGATATTGAGCGCAATATATGATTCGACTTTGTCATTCCATACATATTAACAATTCTCCTCATCTCTTGCTTAAATACAAATTTTAAAATAATTATCCTCGATTTCTTATAACTATAATTATTAATTTTACCGAGAACTTACAAGACCATTTATATTTAAACGCTCGTTTTTAATATATTATATATTGTCAAAATTATTAGTCTGCGCATGCACACGCAAAACTAATTGTGTTCAATTTTCAAATGAATAATAAATGAAGAAATAAATGAAAATACATAAAAAGTTTTTTGCAATATCGTGTTAATTTCGTTAAACGCTAAAATGCTTCACAAATGATGGCATAAATACAAAGTAAATATTAATGCCAATATACATATGAAGAATACATGACTGTTAATAATTAATTTATATTAATCATAAAATTTAATGAGAAATCAAATATAATCAAGTATTAATATTTCGAAAATAAATCAACTAGTATAAAATAATTGCAATATATGCTTTCGAATATTGCGATATCGCTTATAAAATGTTTCGAAAGGCAAAAGTGCAAAATGTAAAAAAAAGGTATAAACTTGAGATACAATGCTAAAGATATCATTTCAAAATTTTTTGTAAAATCTGTCTTTTAATTATGTATTTAATTCTTTCGGAATTTCATTATTTATGGAAAATTGTGTAAACATTCAATAATTTATACGTGATAATGCGATATATTTTGAGTTGCATTCTATCCCACCGCACACTTTTGTCGCTTTGCACGTGTCTTATATAGTAATCGTGCATGGATGGAAGCTTATAAATAGACCGTTTTAATATATGTTAATTTAAAGATAGGCTCTAAAACTGTAAGAACATTACGCGCTAAATATTACCGCTATTACAATTCGAAATCACGTTTGAAACTGTACAACATTGACGGTATAGCCGCTCGCATGCTGTGCCGGATGACTAATATTTTCAATTTAGTCTCCAGAAATATTCTTCGTAAATACATTTCCTTTATCCTCTTTTTATACGTATTAATGTACAGTAATATAGCTGAAAAGTTTTCTTAGGCTCTAAACTATTATTTGTCACTTATGAACTAACAACTTGGGACGTTATCGGGCTGCTCCTAGAAAAATGGGAATGGAAAAATAAATTAAATATCATTACGAGAACGAATAAAATTTTCGAACAAACAACTACACAATTCAGTTTAAAAAAATATATAGAAAATACTTTATAGAGATGTACATGAGAGTTTTTTCTTATGTGTAATTTTTCAAAACAAAATTTAAACAAATAACATTTTAAAGAAAAACGCGTACAAACTTCTGAGAAGAGAATTATTTGTACTTATATTTGAGGTAAAGCTTATTAAATGTTTCAGCTTAACTTCATTTATTCCTGAAATTATATAATAAAATTTTATTTGTACCTATAGTTTCTACGAATGATATATTTATTTATATGTGTATGTATTATTGTCTATATATTATCTGTACATGCGAATATGGAACACTTCACCTACGCGACTTACGACTTATCCTTTATTGCAGAATAATACACGGTTTATAATTTGTCTCGTACATTTATATAATCGAATGTGATTGATCCGTACACATATAATTCGTTATATAAATTTTCAAATTTTATAATTATATAGTCGTCAAAAAAGAGTAAAAGCTATTTCTGGGAGCAGCCCGTTTCCATATTGTAAATCCTGCAAGTCGATAATTTATTATTGTCATTCACAGAAGTAGGAGTTTTATCCGCTTACAAACTAGAATCTGTTACTTTCAAAGGATTTTCTTAGAAAAAGAAAACGAACGAATGAAAAATAGCAATAGCCTATATTCCGAGCAAAGATCTCTCTCGTTATTGATCTTTCAAAGATTGCTCTCAAGTATTGTCATATCGAAAATTCAGCGACACAAACATCGAGATTAAATGTGTGTTCTTATTGTCATTTAATTACGTACATAGTAATTAGTACGAGGCCCTACTTAATGATCTTAATGTTTCTTACATCTCGCCCTTTGTAAAGCTATAGATAATGTAAGTTTTAATGTAAATTTTCTGTTTTGTATGTGTATGCTGATACTTGTGTATATATATATATATATATATATATATATATATATATATGTATATGCGCATGTAATTAAATACAGACTGGTCTTCGTGCGATAAGCAAAGAATTTTTTGCTGTAAATTTTGTGGACACCCCGGTACTTAAGAGCTGGACACACATTGAAAATTTTTATGCAAGAAACGTTACACTAAATTCACTACCCTAAATTGATTATGTATTCCGCTGATTTCTCTTGGTTGCATATATCCCTTGCACGTTTCGCAGTTACTAATTATAATGAATTATTATTTGTGCCACAGGCGTTTTTCTTTTTATTTTCATTCTAATGATTTTTGATAACTTTATATGCACGTGCTTTTTCTTTTGTATAATTCGCAACAAATTATTTTTTTATTTCACACATACGAATCCATTGCTTAATCATAATTATGTCACTCTGTAAAGAATGACATAATTAAAAGCGTATTAAATATTAGAAGAAACAGTTTTAAAACAGAGTTTCTTCTATAATATTTTCTAAAAATATAATATAAATTGTAGCTTCTTATCCATGTGCTATACGCTTCACGCACAAGAGACCAGTTCTAAAGTACTGCACGGTGTCCCTTTTGCCGAGTGGGTCCTAATTCTTGTAATTAGAGACATTTATTTATCTGTACCCAAGGCACATTTTATACTTTCATTCCGTTTTAGGAAGGTCCACACTCTATATAGTATATACATATTATAGCATTGTTACACGTATAGGGGATAGTTTGTAACCTGCATCACCCTTAAGTATTACTTTTTTGCTTTACTTTCTTGTACATAATTCATATTTCATTATCGATCCTCTCCCACTGACTATGCTACGTATTATTGTCAAGTCGACAGCATTTATAAATGTACTCCTTATATACTATTGTCGATTTAAAATTATATTAAGATCAACTATAGCTTTGTGCAAAATTTACATTGTACATGTACTGCTGATGCGTATCTCCATCTCTCCTGCATTAAATTTTATATATAGATGTAATTGTAAATACTAATCAGCTCATCCCCAGATACTGTTTTGACAGATACCCTCTTAATAAACTCCCGTTCTCGTTATTGTCATAATTTCTTCGGTTATCCAGCCCTGATCGTAATTATTGTCAGAATATCATTTGAGTACCCAGACCTGATCACAATTATTGTCAAAATCTCATCGGTTACCTAATTATGATCATTATTGTCTCAGTTCGATCTTATATTGTCAAAGAATATTGAAATTTCGCGTCTTTCTGTGTACATGTTATACGTGTATATGTATATGTGTGTATGTATATATATATATATATATATATATATATATATATATATATCATATAATATGAAATATTTTGAATCTGATAGGTCTTAAAAATATTTTGCTAATCTTTTACCTTACAAGTATATCTCTTACATGCTAAATACTTTCTTACAACCTTGTATGTGTTTCGCCGATTTAACAATCGTATGTATAATTTTCGTGACTTTAAATCGACCAGCTTTTTCATTATCATCTTTATCTTTTGTCACTTGTTCCGCATAAAAAGGAAAAAACCTAACGATTCATCTCAAGAATAAAAGGAGTGCGATAAATGTCGCAAACGTTGTAAACACGGACAAAACGTGATTGATGCTGTTAATGTTTCCCTGTGACTGGTTTGCATCGACAACATTGATCTTCCAGCCCAAATGGTTGTGCGTATAACACTAAAAAAGATATTATATAAAAGTTTGATAAAGTTTCACCTTAAAGAATAAACTTTGTAAAATCTAATAATTAATAGAAAACTATTTTTTTGATAAAAAACTATTTTTACATCGCTGAAATAATTTACATATTCGCGCGAATAATAGATTCTCTCTCCTTCGACTTTTTCTTAAAATAAAAATTTGTACCTGATAGTAAACTAAATCCGGTGTGTCCTCTTCTACGGTCCATACGAGCTTGGCAGGTTCGCCCTTGTCACACTTGAGTTCGAGCGTTTGGAAAAAGCTCTCAAACGTGTCGTAATTATCTGCGCTGTCCACCGTGGTGCGGGTCCATTCGCAGTAACGGCCGGCTGCAGTCGGATAGGGATATCCGGAATTATGCTTTACGCCAGCAAATACTTTTTGCTCCATTTGTTGCGCTTCATTTTTCTGTCCGAAACCACCCTCCGAACTGTCAGTTATGTAGAATGGATGATATCTATCGACAAACACATCAATGTTGTAACTTGTAACAGAGATATTATAGCGATATAGATTAAATGTGTATGAATATTTTGAAAGATATCATCGCGAATGAGAATACGACTTACTTAGCAGGATTGACAGGATCGTTTCCACCCTCCACGATGAAGGTGTATGTTCGACCTCGTTCAACTGTGATCTCCGGGATCAGCAAGTCATTGATATACCACGCAATACCCCAAGAGGGTGTGCCTAGATTACAATAAAGATATTAATAGATTATAATAAGGCAGCATAATTTTAAGCATTATTAAGATTTTGTGAATAAACGAAATCATAAAAAATTTTAAGATTATCATTACAACGTTCATACTAATGTTTTTTAACATTATTTCTCTAAACGACAGAAGAATAGAATAAATTTTATTCTTTGTGGAATTATTTTTTTCTGCAATATTGATTAGATAAGAAAAAAGTATTCGGAAATGCTTTATAACATATTCATAATTCAAATATTTAAATATCAGTTGTTTAGAAAGTATTCAATCTGTTAAAAAATACATAAATAAAAATTTGTTTAATACTTATACTTATACATATGATATTTATTTGATTGTAAAAGAATTTAATTTTCTAAGTTTTAATCTAGTTCAAGTTTAATTTTGCGTACAATTAATATAGGACTTAGCTGTAGTATATTTGATAATTAGAAGCTGAAATATACAATAAAAATGAAATAAAAATGAAACATGATAAAATTTTATAATATATATCATAAGCATAGTACCTGGTATTTGCGAGTATCCTTTTTTTGAGCCAGACACATAAAAATTTGTTTAATACTTATACATATACATATGATATTTATTTGATTGTAAAAGAATTTAATTTTCTAAGTTTTAATCTAGTTCAAGTTTAATTTTGGGTACAATTAATATAGGACTTAGCTGTAGTATATTTGATAAATAGAAGCTGAAATATACAATAAAAATGAAATAAAAATGAAATATAATAAAATTTTATAATATATATCATAAGCATAGTACCTGTTATTCGCGAGTATCCTTTATTTGAGCCAGCCGGCCCAATTTTAGCTGTGAAAGTATCCTTATCTGTAATAACAGCCGCTTTCCAGGGTTCGATCTCAGGAGTGTCCGGAATATTGTATAGGGAATTTGTACACTCGTGGACATTGCTTGACGTAAAATCGATACGAATATCCTCATCGGTCTTATCCAATTTCTCATGAGCATTGGCTTCGCCTCGTGCATTCAGAAGTCCGATGGCAGCGATCACACTTGTTTCCCTTTCCGGAATCATTCTGTCTTTCACCGGCTCATTAGTCCTAAGCGGCCGCGTATATGTAACTGTAATTGAAATCGCATAATCAACGATTATCTCTGTGTTTTGTATTTTATATAAGTCTTTCTATTTTGAATATTTCCAGAAAGAATCTCACATTGATTGATGAGAGACATTTAAATAATTATTGATAATAGTATTAAAAATTAATTAATGCATACTATTATACAAACATTATTATAAGTCAAATTGTTTAATAAAATTATAAATATGCACTTATTTGATGCCATTCTAAATTTAATAAAATTATTGGACACACAAATTACTTAAATTCTTATTACTATAATTAATATTAATTCTTACATAATATTAATTCGTATCTCAATGAACTATATATAAAAAGTAAAATATCGAAAAGAATAAATGCGCAATTAACCGCGTTTATAAAGTAATAGCATATTATTTTCGTTTCTACAGCAATACTATCGTTTATAAATTTTATACGACACTGATATACCTGTTGTTATGCCATTTTTTCGTTCCCCACGCACTAATACCACGTCGTTCCTTCCGCCGACTCTTTTATCCGGACACACACCCTTCTTGCCGTCGCACTGAGCGATGTCCGACATGTAGTAATCCTCGGCGATGAAATTGCCGGTTCTATTATTATATCCGATCACGACGACATCGCCGCCGATCATCTCGGCCTGGCCTTCTCGGCCCGACAGTCCGAACGCCACGTATTGGTCCTCCCTGATGCGACCCGAGATCTGTATTTGTACATCTTCACCCATTAGCTGCCACATCACTTGAACACGGCCCTCCAGCATCTCTTTACAGTTGTTCACTGTCTTAGGTGTACTCGTCTGAAAGAGGAAAGATCGCGACTTGTGATTTATGACTACGCCGAATTATCGTCCGTCATACAGCAAAATCATCCGTGCATCGATCGTGCGCTGTACTTACTGGATTGTACCACCACGGCGGCTGTTCCGTTTGAAAATCGAGAGCAATGTCATTAATAAAATGGACTGATCAATTGAACGATAGTGATATAGTGAACAAACTCAAATAATATAATGATTTCGTTATGAATGTATAAAAGATACACACAAATTGAATAATTATTATAATGAAATTTACGCGGCTCTTTGGTATTATAATATTTAACTAAGAAGAGATTATACGCAGTTGCCTAAAAATAACGCAAAAGCAAAAGCTTTGCTGACACGAGTTACATTAAATCTAAAATATTAACGGTAAAATTACCATGTATATTTTATCAAGTAAAAACGTAAATGTCCCTCTTCACAGTGTATTCAATACGTCTGTATTACATAAAATGAAGCTTTTCATCGTGTCGCTCAAAGCCGCGTCTATTATCGTTTCATAGTTGGACGTTAATGAGGGTACGTAAGTTCGGAGCATGTATATCAAGCCAACAGATTGGAGAACTCATTTTAGTTTACCGTAATTTTCGTCTGGCCAAGAGCCGGAGGAACGTCGAGATCCCTTGGAATTAGAACATGGCCGAAATTGTGTCTGTATTCAACGCACCATACTGCAAACCAATGGATGTCGTACACTGTCAAGTTTCCCGGCAAGACGATCTCAATGTCCTCTCCTTGATATCCTCTCAGTCGCTCCAAACTGTCCATGGATGAGATTGATAAAATATTACTTCGATAAATTGAATAATGTTTTCAATTAAAATACGAGCTCAATTTTCTTTTCTCTATTGTCGGAAAATATTTCACTTTCCAATATAATTTAATATTTAAGATGATATTATTTCCTCAAAATAATAATAAAATTGATTTAAGTTTATTACAAGATTTTTTAATGAATTTTGACGAATAAATAATTCAAATAAAAATAATAATTTTATTAAAATGCCATAAAATAAAAATAATACAATTCTTTATTCATTTATATTTCTCGTATTTATTATATTATATTATACTAAAACATATTTATTTATTAGTTTTTTAAATCAATGTATATATATATATATATATATATATATATATATAAATTGTATGTGCGAATTACAATTTATTTATCATTTATTTTATTTACGATTATATTTCAACTGACCTGCCCACTTCATTGGGAACCTTGATTCCAAAACGACTAGGTTCCGAGCCATTGCCAACCCAGAAGAAAGCGTCCGGGCCCTCACCGTCGTAATGTAAATTCGGAATGTAGATGGTTTTACTGTCGAGAATACTGATATTACCGCTGCGAAGACCGTGCGCCAATCTCGAAAACTCAGGAAGTACTTGTAGTTTCGGTACTTTCAAATCGCTCGGTATATAGACATCGCCGAAATCGACCTGGAATATAAATATATTATAATATATAGATATTTATTTTAATTATCTATTTTATACATATGCAACTTTTTACAATTAAAATTAATTTACAATTAAATACGATAAACTTTCGCAGCTTTGCTAAGTTTTTTGTACACTTTGAAATATTAAATTTGATTTTTACTAATTATTTATTAATATTAAAATTTTTATTTCAGCTCTAAGTAAAATTTGCAAACGGCGTTTTTATAATCCTTGACAAAATCAAAAGGAGCTGAATCACATAGATCTCTATACGACAATAAAGTAATGATTACAAAAATAATTTTTATTATTGAAACAGAACATCAAATTTTATTTCAATTATATATTAAAAAATTTTACAGTCTTTATATTTGCGACTTTATCAAAATCGTCTCGACAAACTCGCTAATTTATCCTCCTGAAGATATGCATTTACACCCCCATAATATCGTCGAAAGAGTCGATCTATCATCCCCGGCGTTCGAGTTGACGTACCGATGAGGGGTTTCGGCTCGTTTATATTCTAAGTTCCGTCAAACGTCTCAACGTCTGAGAAGAGGAAGTCGAGAAAAGAGAGGAAGAATATAGAAAGACAGAAGAAGAAAGAGAAAGACAGAAAGTAAAGAAGCGAGTTATCGGTCGAAGGTTCGTAAAATCCGAGAAACGGATTCCACCCTCCTTCGGAGCGGGGTTGCATCCGTTCTCTTTCTCCAGGGAGCATTTTATGGGAGAAAATTCAACGTTCGCGCGACGATTTCTCAACTCATTCCGAAACCCCGAACAAATCTATTCGTGAATGGCAAAATAGCGAGCTTCTATTATACCCAGCCTTCCTCGAGCGGATTTTCCGCGTTTTCTGTCTCGCGAGAATAATATAATCGAGTTTGTGTTAAAAGGAAATCCTCTTTTACATATAAAAGTTTTCCTATATAAGCAAACTTAGCTATCAAGTTTTCAGTTATAATTTAAAAGATGATAAATTTTCGATATTTATGAATGAAATGTAGTGCATAATTATTTTGGAACAATAATAAAAATAAAATTTTCTTACGTAATCATTAAAATCATTACAATAATATATAATTTACAAGAAAAATTTTTATATATTTTTCACTTGTCACTCAAAATATCTATTAAGCACAAACATTGCACCAAAAATTTCTAAGATCGATATAAATTTAAATTACATTATATAATTCAATCACATTTGTATATTGCACACTTGACTTTCTTTGACTTGTAGATTCGATAAAACTAGCACTTTTTAGAAACTAGAAGAATTGTAATAAAATTGCACTATCATTCACGTAAAATGGAAATATCGTAATCACCGGTTAAGAATCTCGTCACAATTCTGCATTCCAATTATGATTAGTAATTGGCTAATTAAAATTAAAATGGATTTAATTGGTAGATGCTGAAATAGAAATTGGATAAATGATAGTGCCTCCGCGAGAAATTAAATCAGGAAGATGTTGTATGTGAAAAGAGAGACAAGGAGCCCCGCAGCTGGTAAATAGTTCGCTAACTAAGATTACGTCTTTGAAATCGCGATGCGCCATGATTTTCTCTGGAAACAGCTTCGCGAGGAATATGCTCTGGAAGTTATACCGAGTACATTTTACAGAATTCTGCGTGTGGTATATACAAATCAACGGAACGTGCAGAAGTTTCTTCGGTTTTGCAGAAGTCCCTTTGTGCGATGTACGGCCGTGCGGCAATTTCATCTCTAACAGGCACAACTGGCAAAGTGGCTGGAAAATTTAACATTTGCATGCACCCGTGCCATAATTTACATTTCCATTTGCCAGGAATACTTTACTCCTGTGCATCCTATAAAGTTTAGAAGCTCCTCAGTTTCGTAATTAATTCCCTTCTGTCAACGTCAATCGCTTCCTTAACAAATTATCAAATTATCAATATCTCAAAATACTAAACAAATGCAAATGGAATTTTGTCATTGACAAAATTTGAATTTAGAGTATTGTTATAAAGATTATTACTATTTAGGAAATAAAAAAAGTTATAAATACAAATGTTAACTAACAACAAGATATTTTCAATTTCATATACAATTATAAGATATAAGTTTCAATATATAAACATTAATTTTGAGAAATTCATATAATCTAAAAATTAAATGCATAATTAAATATCCATAATTATACTGCACGAGCTATTTATTGCTAATCAATTCATGATTGATTCTAGATTTTACGCGACCTTTTATGACATCAAATCTAAAAATAGTGGCTCTCTCGATTTCTCACAGATCGTTTCGAAACTAAAGCAACGACACACACAGCCGTGCACTAATTTCATCATTAATAATAATTATTATCGACGAGTTGGGAGGGGCTCCCACGAGACTGCAAAATTTGCATGCGCATTAATCCCATTTCGTTTAAGGGCTCGTCAATCATACTTCCCTTGTCTAGCTGATGGTTCGATGTACGAGTCCGAAATGTTCTATACGAATGAGCCGCAAAACGGGCTTAATGGCATTTTGAATAGAGCCATACTTAAAATCGGCTCTCCACAATTGCACTTCTTCATTACAGGAGAGAGACTATATGTATCAATATTATTTTAAAGCATTAGAAAATATATCTTCAATTTTGTTATATAATATAGGTATCGAAACTAATTAAATATTTTTTATTTAGAAAATAGATCTGACATTTTTTAACAAATTTTTATAAAAATTAAAATAAGAATTTTTTAAAATAAAAGTTCTATAAACAATTGATGTCTCTCTCTCGGTGAATTTATAAAAATAATAAAAACTAATGTTGTGTGTGTATATGCGATATCATTGCAATTTACTGTATATTTTGCCTAGCAATTGTATATTTTATTGATATTTAATGGTTGTAATTAATAATAATTTATCAAACTACATATTTATTACATTATATTATATAATATTACATATTATATTATTTTCATTACAGAATATTATACTTATTTGTCATAATATAATTTCTCCAATAATTTTAGAACACACACACACACACACACACACACACACACACACACACACACACACATATATATATATATATATATATATATATAATTAATAATTATAATCTGACTACTACATGACTATTGCAAGTTCAAAACTGAATTTATGTACGGTAGAACTTTAATTGATTTCGGAGACTGTGGTAATCGCTCTTTGTAACGAAATGACAAGAAATTACTCTGTTCAGCGACATTAACATCCTACGCGTTGACATATAGATCGGCGATAAATTTGATAACACCTACACAATTCCTTCCTTCCTAATTATCAAGTATTCACTGACATCAAACGGTGAGAAACGGTGAATATACGAATATTTGCCATTCATTAAAATAAACGCCCACCTGTCGATGTGTTGATTCCCATCCTACGTCACAGTTTTCTTTTATATATAAACTGTATTCTTTTATATATATAAAGTAATTCATAAAATATGAAATATAATTTCGCGAACGCATGGATAACACAATGTGTTTCAGAAAGTTTTCGGCGTTGAAAATGAGATACGAATATATCGAAAAAATATTTCCACGTTTAATTCCAACGATTTTGCGATTATTTTTCGTTCGTTTGACATTGTTTTATTTATGTTGAACGATCTAACAGACATGAAATAATGCTGTGCGATTTGAAGAATTTTTATAAAACTGTAACTATGTATATAATTCACGTATCGGAATAATATAATCGATATTTATATAGTAGGTAGAAAGAGTTTTCTGATATACATTCAACAAATTATTATTTATCTATTTTTTAGATTTATATGCATAATTTGCAATAAATATTTTATATAATTAGATAAAATAAAATATTTAACAACGAGAGAAACTATTCAATACGCAATTTTGTGTATATTTCTTTTTATTGTAGAAAGCGTAACGATACATTCATATTACGATCAGATTATCAAATAATTGACCGTTACTGGAATTTTAAATCCACTTGCAGATTCAATTGTCTAGATATTGGAATACACGGTATCACTCGATAACTAAATATTGCCAATAATTAAGTGAGCGGCTCTCAAGTCAAGTGTACTCTCAAAAAAAAAACTGCGTGAATATCGACGCAAATTATAATTCATATTATGACTATAATTGTGAATACAAAGTAACTTTCATACAGATGAAAAGCGAGCTAATAAATTTATGGAATGAGAATATATTTATAAAACTGAATTACTCCATTCTACTGCAATTTATCCTATTTTTTAATGGAATAAACTTTGTAAATTTAAATTTATTGCTCTACTAATTAAATATATAAAATTTTGAAAATTTGTGAATATATAATTGAAAGTTACAACATTGAGCAAAACAATAATGTAATTGATTTTCTTACGAGACATTGAAAAAATAGAGTTTAAAGTTAAAAAAAAACTAGATTTTTAAATAATTTTTTTTTAAATTCTTGTTTTAAAAAGAAAATAATTAGTCCATTTTTGCACTTCTGAATTGTCAGTCAAGAGCAGGTCCTTGATCGTAAAATCGACACTCTATTAATTTTCATGAGAGATCGATATGAAAATATTGACTAGATCAGTGGATAGTAGTTTTAAAAAATTTAGCAAGAGCGGTTTCTCGAAATTTTATTTTACTACTTGTTGTCTAATCTTTCCAGAATTTTTTCAAGAAAATACCAACTCGGTGCTAGTTTCGATCCGATTGCCCGCGACTATTACAAGGGGGATGCGTATCTGTCGGTTTATAAACTGGAACGCAATGATGTGCGGGTTCTTCGTCAATCCGATATCTTTGATGTAGCCGTTTTATCCCCAGCCCCCGAGGTTTCGAGCCTGGAGTCGCTGCAACGCTCCCTCCTCCTAATAGACTGTTTATCTCGTAAGCTCAGATTTAGATTCGGATTAAGGGCTATTATGCGAGCTTCCGTAAGAGCGTGCGTCTGCCAGAAACGTAGCTGTCATATAACTAGGACTATAATACTATATTGTAATACTTACATATTT